CAAAATTAAGATGGAAACTTAAAATATAGGTTTCCTTACAGGCAAATTAATAAAATTAATTGATATTATAATTTGTATAAGATGAATATTCTATGCATTCATGAAACTAAATGAGTTCAATAAAAGGGTAAGGAGATTGATAATTTAGGATTTAAACTATGATATTCTGTCAGGAATCATATTAAAAAAGGTGTATGTGTGATTATAGATAAGAGTTTGAAGGATAATGTTATAAAAATTAATAAAATTGGAGATAAAATTGTAATTTTAGAGATTGTTGTTGATGTTAAGATTATACGATTATTAATATTAGAAGTGCTTATATTCCTTAAATCTGTTTGAATATGTATTTAAAATTAAATTTTTGGAATGACTTAAAAGAATTAATACAAAAGATACCTCTTGAAAAAATATTTTTTATTGGAAGAGATTTAAATGAACATGTTGGTAGAGATGTTGATGATTTTAAAAGTATTCATGATGACTGTGTTTGGAGCTACTAATGAAGGTGGTAAAATTATATTAGATTTTTCTATATCTCATGATTTTGTAATTGCTAATACCTTATTTAAGAAAAGATATAAGCATTTCATCACTTATAAGAATAGATATAGTAAAACTCAGATTGATTAATTTCTATAAAAAAAATAGATTGTTTAGATTGCAAAGATTATAAATTTATTCCGAGTGAAAGTTTATGTGCTCAATATAGCTTATTAGTTATAGACTTCAACATGAAGGGGCAAAATATGAAAAAATAAAGTAAAATATTGTTATAGGATTAGATGACGACATTTAAAAAATATTAACAAAATTATTGAGAGTAAGATTTTAGATCTTAAGATTTTGTCTGTGTATGAGGAAGCTAATGTTATGTGAAAAAAAATAGCTAGTGTTATTAAGAATGTTGCAAAGGATGCACTTGGCGTATCGAAGGGAAAAACTCATAATAGTAAAAATAATTGGTGGTGAAATTAAAATGTGCAAGAAAAGATAAAAATAAGAAGCTTTGTTATAAAAAAATGGTTTAGCCGTAAAAACTTTGATAATTGGGAAAATTATAAAAAGGTCCATAAGAAGTCTAAGATAGTAATATGCGATGCAAAGATTTTAGCTTTTAATAATTTATATAATAGATTAGATACTAAGGAGGACGAAAGATATGTATAAGTTAGCCAAATAAAGAGATAAGAGTAGTAAAGATTTTATTCAAGTGAAGTGCATTAAGGATGATGATCAAAAGTGCTTTTATTAGAAGAGTATATTCAACAAAGGTGGATAATATATTTTGCCAAACTTTTCGAAGATTGTGAGAATACAATTGAATTTAGTGACCTTAGCATGCTAAATAAAAATAAAGATTTTTATATTTATCGATGTATTAGTTAAATCAAAGTAAGAGAGACTTAAAAGAAAATAAGGTGTGAAAAAGCTATTGGACATGATGATATTCCAATAAAGGTGGAAATGCTTAGGAGATGAAGGAATTTTTTGGCTTACTAGACTTTTTAATATTATTTTGAAGACTAAAAAGATACCAGATGAGTGGAGAATGAGTATGTTGATTTCTATTTTTAAGAATAAGTGTTATGCACAATATTGTGTGAATTATAGAGTAATTAAGTTAATGTGTCATACTTTAAAACTATGGGAGAGAGTTATGAAGCATATATTATGACGTGATACTAATGTTTCTCAAAATCAATTTGGTTTCATGCCGGGTAGATCTACTATGGAAGCTATACATTTATTGAGAGGTTTGATGGATAAGTATAGAGAGAATAAGGAGGATCTACATATGATATTTATTGATTTAGAGAAAATATATGATAAAGTTTTAAGAGAAGTGATATGGAGAGTTATAGAAAAGAAAGGGGTTAATAATGCTTATATACAAGTCATTAAATATATATATGCAGGATATATTACTTGTGTTCAAACACAAGGTGGTTTGATCAAGTATTTTCCTATTTTAGTTGGATTATATCAAGGATCATCCCTAACCTTAAGCCCATATCTTTTTGCTTAGTCATGGATGTTCTCTCTAGACATTTGTAAGAGGTTGTACCCTAGTGTTTGTTTTGTGCTGATGTTATTCTTCTTGTTGATAAGACTAGAGAGAGAGAGTTAAAGGTAAACTTGAATTATGGAGGTCAACCTTAGAGTCTAAAGGTTTTCATTTGAGTAGATCTAAAGCCGATTATATGAAGTTTATTTTAGTTATAATATATATAGTGGGGGGATTGTGAATTTTGGTGATCAAGTCATTAGCAAGAGTACACATTTTAGATATTTTGGGTCTATTATTCAGAGTGATGGTGAAATAGATGGGGATATTATTAGTAGAATTCAAGTTGGATGGTTGAAGTGGAGGAATGCATCTGGTCTGTTGTGATTAAAAAGTCCCCCTCATACTTAAGGAAAAAATATATAAGATGATGGTGATGAGACATGCAATTCTTTATTATGCAGAATGTTGGCCATTAAAAGAGAAGCATATATTAAGTTAAGTGTTGCGGAGATGAGGATTCTCAAGTGGATGAGTGGCTTTACTCTTTGAGACAGGGTACAAAATGAATATATACATGAAAATGTTGGAGTAGCTCTAGTGGATGATAAGATTTTGAGGAGTTTCTAGTAGCTGTTTGGGTGGTGCTTTAACTCCATGCATTAATTATTTTTTCCTTTTTTCTCCCCTATAAGTGGGGCTGTTTTGTGACAATTTTAGAGAGATATGTGATGATTTTTTGGAAAGTTAAACATGCGGGTTTGTTCTAGCTTGCGAGCTAGCCTCCTTTCCCCTTCCGCTCTACTAATTCGTCTCGTTTTTCTACCTCTTCTTCTCGATCCACGGTTCCCTCATATGTATTTTTTTTTCTCTTAATTAATATAAGTTGTAAGGTGTTGTGTTCTAGTATTATTATATTATATATGTGTTTGTCTATGTTTATGATAATGAAGACTTTTAATTTGCAATCCTAATGTAATTTTTTTGGTTGCACCACTTGTATTAACAGTATACTTAAATAAAAATACACAATTTTTATATAGTGTAAATCATACAAAATTAAATAACTTCTATTTTGTTCAGTGAAATTCATAAATATTGCAATCAAAATATTCAAGATAATCAGTATAATAACATACAAAAAGTTGTGCGGTAAAAGTTCAATAAAGCCTTGAAAAATACAGTAAATCAGGTTTGAGGAGAATTCAATAGTCAAAATCAAAATATTTGAAAACAGAGATAGGATTATAATCCCTTACCTCGATTTGAACAATTTTTATAAAAGTGACAAAGCAATCCGAAAACAAAAAATCTAGATTTTTCTCTCTCTTCTCTTTCCCTCTCCTCTTCTTCTCTCCCTTGCTCAGCAAGCCGACACTAGCTGGGGAAACAATGAGTGGGAAAAATATTATATAAAATTGATTTTTAGTGTGTAGCGCCACATCGATGCAAGTCAGTTCCCGATTACTTTACAAACGAAGGTTTCAATGTCGCCATAACATTTTTTGGCACCACCCCGCTCTAGGCCTAATGCTGCAACGCTCAAAGGATTAGAGCCGATGTGCTCCAGTTTAATCATAAATTCAGATTTTCTATTTTTAATTATTTTCAGAAATTGGGGTTGTTAAATATATTCCCTTTATCTTTTATCTTCTAAATATATTGTTGTTGGGTTGTTAAATTTATTGATTCTATTCAAATTTGATATAAGTAGAATTTTAGTTGTAAAAAATTTTTTTTCCTGTTGATTTTTTCATGGTTCTAATTTCTTGTAGGTTTCTTTAGATTTAATTGATCATTGTGTTATCATTTTTGTTCTAATTTAATTTTTTAATTTACACCTAAAATATGAATTTTTTGTCTATTTAGTGAATTTTGATCTGCAAGTCCTAATTTTTTTTAAATGCCCAATATTCATTCATCGCACTATCCTAACAACATCAAATTGTCCGGCTTCAAAATGAGTAGCAAACACTCATTTTACTTGAATACAATGAGAAGAATTAAAGTTGTATCCCTATGGAATTTATTGAATGTACTCAGTGTTTGATACGCCTTGGTATCAAAAACAGCTAACAAACCAGGAGAATTCAACAAACCACAATTTTTTATTGATAATAAATGAAATACGAACGAGCAAGATACAATGGTCCTCTTTTGAGAGGACATTTTCTCCAAAATTCTATGCACCTCTGAAATCCATCATAAAAATAATGGACAACTAACACTCACAAAACTCATCAATGGTATGATCCTAAAACTCTAGACATCTCCCACTTAAATAACCATAGAGCACAATAGCATAAATAGAACATTCCTAAACAATTTAAATATAATTTAGAAAACCTTCCTAAATTAAACATAATTTAGGCAACCTTCATAAATAATTAAACATGATTTAGGAAACCTTCCTAAACAAATTAAATATAATTTAAGAAATCTTCCTAAATAAATTAAACATAATTTAGGAAACATTTCTAAATAAATTAAACATAATTTAGGAAACCTTCTTAAAAAAATTAAATATGATTTAGGAAACATTCCTAAACAATTAAACAACTTCTTGATTTCTCCTCCTCACATAATGAATAATAGCTTCCCTGGGTCCCCTGACGTATCAGTGTTTCACTTGTCCTGAATAACAACTAGTATGAATATGAGCACAATATGATAGTCTTAAAAGGAGAATGATGGAGCGCCAATTTTCTGTTTAAGAAATCTAAGGAGATTAGTGGGGCCTCAGCTCTTTTTTCGAGAAATCCAAATGGTGATGTGTGCTGGAAGAAGAAGTGACTTGGAAGTTGATGCCAATATGATGATTGTTTTCATTGTTCATGTTCATTTTACTTGTGTTACTTTTATCTATTGCTTAAAATCTTATTTTTGTTTATGTTATATTTTAGGCACTTCATTTTGGCAGTAAAAATTGTTGCTAGATTTGGGCTTTATTTTTTGAAGTATGTTTGTGCTACTAGAAATTTCTTTTTGGAAGGTTTGAACGGATGCTAAATGAGATGCTAGGGCATTTGGAACGCCACCCTTTTAGTAGAGAACATCGTATTGCATGGCTTCAACTTATTGAACCGGTTTTGAGTGCAATGGGGCTTGTATTGTTAATGCACTTCCATCGAATTTTTCCTCTCTTCTTTCAGTGGCTGCATACTGATGATGATGAAACTATTCTTCTGGTAATTAATAGATTTTGCTGAAAGGAACCTGTTAATCCAATTTTACTGATTTTAAATTACTGAATTAGGTTGTTTTGCAGGTCCTGGAGCGAATTCATTCAATCATAAAACTGACGTGGGTCAGGAAATCGCCTTACATGGCAAGGTGAGTTTAAGACCTAACATTGTTTAACTTTTGTTGGCTGCCTTTTTGTTTGCTTGTACAACTTCTCTATGATAAAAGAGGAACAATATATCTAATGTTATCTTTGTCCTCAAGTAATTATTTGCGCATGTTTCGTGGAATATGTAAATTCATAAAATAGATAACCCTATTGATGCTTCTACTTTGGGCCCATTTCTCCTCTTTTTTTGGCATTCTATCAACTAATGTTTAATAAGCTTTGGGCAACTTAAGCATCACTCTTAGTTGTAAGCTGCTAAATTATTATACTGACCATATAATTGATTATCAGGTTGTTAGATGAGCTCATTCATTTGTACAAGGAAGTAGAGACCAGAGAGAGCCGTGAATCTATACGGAATTTCATTTTAGATTCTCTAATTTTACTTCAGAAGTGAGCATGGGATTGCTTTCTAAGAGCTTCTGCTCCTCCCTCTTTTTGTATTATCTTATTCTTTAATTTCAAATTTCATGATCTTTTTCTCTTTACTATGCAGATGCAAGGGAATGCAGTTTGAAACGTCATGGATCAAATATAAAGATGATCCAGGCTTGGAGAAATTGGTTTATTCTCTAAGAGAAGCTCTTAAAGCCCAAGCTGTCCAACACTTGCTATAGAAATCTGAGCTTTGGGCCTAAAATGTGCTGGTGTTCCAAAGCTCAGTTGGCTATAAACCTTTAGCATCTTGGAAACTATGCAGTTGGAAATCTTCAGGAAAGGTAATCATTGTAGTGTATACTTGTGCAAATAGCACATGTAAAATAATTCCTTCTATCCACCACAATAATACTATACATTTTCGATGGTCAAATAGTTACAAAATGACACTTGTGGTGGTATATGCTAATTAGTGACTACTTAGTTTGTCATTCTGATGGCTGCAAAAATATTCATCTCAAATATGATTTGCAGCCGGATGCATCCAGTCACAACTAATTGCAAGTTCATTTTGGTCTCAAAATTGCTGTTGCTAAAATTCAAATAACAAATGGTCGATCGCATTTTGGTCTCAATTTTTTTTTTAATGTGTGGAACTTTTTTATTCATTTATCTCTATCGGTATTTAATTCATGAAATTTTATCCAACTCAAAATCCTTATAATAAAGCATGCATAAATGAATTATTAAGTAATCAAATATACAAACTAAACTCACATAAGTGCAAATGAGTATGAAGACCAAGTTATGCTAATTTAATTGAATTAACAATAAGATCTCCAATGATTATATTTCTTTATTAACACAAACTCTAATGATAAATAAGCTCAACTTATAACATAAACTACATAATTATACAATTGTGTTAAAAGATTAAAGACAAATGTGTAAGTGTTATGACTTGTAAGCTCAAGATAAATGAATTAAAATGCCATGCAAGCTATGATCTCATAAACTCATCAGATGGCCAAGTTCCACATAAACTAGTGATATACAAGGTGTCAGTGTAAAGCTAATGTTAAGAATGAGAATTTATAAGTTTAAACATAATTAGAGAAAATTTCTTTAAAATATAGAATGTGATCATCCCAAATATATATCACTACAAAAACATGTAAACAAAATAAGTAAGAAAAGTATGAATTTAAATACATGGTCACAATTCACTTCATGGGTGAGTGCTATCCAAATACATATCATTAACAAGCTAGACACCCTAACACCAAATATAAGATTAGAATTCCTAATAAAATTTTCTATAGCTTTAGCTTTAGTGATGAATGAAAGAAATCACCAACTAAAATTCCTATATAACTCACTGGCCACCAGTCGCTACCATCAGTTGCAGTTCATAGTCCGTCGCACAAAGAGGAGGGGTGCCAGATGAGAGGGACAACAGGAGAGCGTGGATTAAGGAAAGCACCAACTAATCTTATATGATAAATCAACTTTACTAAAATGGCAAGATTTACAACGTGAAACTACCTATACAATATTTAGAGAGATTGCTCAAGGAAAATGAAATGAGTGGAAACAAAACCTTCACTTGTCAAGGAAGAAGGTGAATGGCATTTGTTACCATTACCATTGCTTTCCATTGCAGTGGCCCATGACAATTGATCGTGCTAAGAGGAGGTTGGTCGGGATGAAGGGACAATGTGTGAGGGTGGGGTTAGGGATTTGTGGCAAAATGGAGGAAGAAATTATATTAGCTCGTTTTTTTTGAGCAATTGCATTGCAAAATAATAATGTTTGTGAGTAGTCCAAAATAGTTGCCTCAAAGTCATTGCAAACGTAGAGATTTTGGTAATGATCTAATTTTGGTGATGTTTGCACACTTAACCGAGTTAGAAGAAAGTGTAAGGTCTTGCATGGCTTAAATTGTAGTTTTTGATGGTTTTAGAGTCCTTTGGATGGATTTCGGGACCTCTTTGAAAAGGGTTGAAAGCTTCCACTTGTATGTCTTAATTGACAATTTCACACAGAGAAACAAGATTGAACTAGTTAGTTCATGCGTGAATGAAGCATTAATGAGATGCTTTCTAAACTCTATAGAGGGATGCACAATATTCTCATTTGAGGGCTCATTTTGTTACTTGAAATTAGAAGAAGAGTATGAAAATGGCCAATTTATTAGATTCTGTCATTTAGTTTGATGTAGTTAATTATAGAAATTAATATGAATTTTTAACTTTACAAACATATTCAAATTCCTTTAAAAATTATAATTTATTTTTAGATAAAATGTATGAAAATGGTGATGCACAAGAATGTGCGAATTATGGAGGAATTAAATTAATGTATTATATATTAAAATTATGGGAGAGAGTAATTGAGCATAAATTATGAAGTGATTCTAATGTTTCTCAAAATCAATTTGGATTCATGACGGGTAGGTCTACTATGGAAGGTATGCATTTATCGAGAGATTTGATAGAGAATTTTAGAGAGAATGAGGAGGATCTACATATGATATTTTATTGATTTAGAGAAAACATATGATAAAGTCCCAAACGAAGTGCTGTGGAGAGTTCTAGAAAAGAAAAGAGTTAATAATACTTATATTCAAGCCATTAAGGATATGCATGTTGGAGTTGTTACTTGTGTTCAAACACAAGGTGGTTTGACAAAATATTTTCATATTTCAGTTGGATTGCATTGAGGATCAGCTTTAAGCCTGTATTTTTTTGCTTTAATCATGGATGTTCTTACTAGAAGTTTGCCCAGAGGATGTACCTAGTGTATGCTTTTTGGTGATGATATTCCTCTTGTTTATAAGACTAGAGGAGTTGAAGGAAAGCTTGAATTATGGAGGTTAACCTTAGAGTCTAAAAGTTTTCGTTTGAGCAGATCTAAACCTGAATACATTAAGTGTAATTTTAGTAGAAATAGATTTATTGCAGGGATTATGACTTTAGACGATCAAGTTATTAAAAAGGGTACACATTTTATCTATCTCTGGTCTATTGATCAAAGTGATGGCGACATAGATGGAGATATTATTAGTATAATTTAAGTTGAATGGTTGAAGTGTAGAAAAGCATCAGGCCTATTGCGTGATGGAAAAGTACCTCCCAAACTTAAGTGAAAATTCTAGAAGGTGATGGTTAGACCTGCAATGATTCATGGTGCAGAATGTTGGCAATTAAAACAAAAGCATAAAATTAAGTTCAAGTGTTGTAGAGATGAGGATACTCAGGTGGATGAGTGGCTTTACACTTAGAGGCCGAACATGAAAAGGTTGGAGTAGGCTCAGTGGCACATAAGATTAGAGAAAGTCGTCTTATAAATGGTTTGGTCATGTAAAACATCGACCTTCCGATGACCGTGTAAGGAGAGTAGATGTATTAGATTTGACCTATGTTAAGAAAGGTAGAGATAAACCTAAAAAGACTTGGTTATTAAGTATTGGAAATAACTTTTTCTTGTTAGACTTAAATGAGAATTTGACTTTTAATAGGACATAATAGAGAAAAAAGATTCATGTAGCCGATCCCACGTAGTGAGATAAAGGCTTGATGTTGTTGTATAAGATATTTGAAAACAAAATATCAGTGATAATAATATTATCACTTTTTAAACATATTCTCTTTGCATGGAACTAAATGAGTCCTGCTGAAAATTACTTCTTTTTTTTTTAAATTGACATGGTTTTATGCAATTCACTTTACCTATCTGGTTTTACTGCTGAAGAGTTTAGTGGTATATTCATTTATAATCCACAAAAGCCACAAGTGTAGACATTCTTGTGTAATCCTAATCATCAACAACAACATCAAGCCTTTATCCCAGTAAATTAAGCACAATAAAATTACCATCCTTTTTATTTTATTCGACATTTAGTTGCAAATTGAATAAATGCTGTCAAGAGAGACTCAAAATGCATGGATTTAAGATTTTAAGCGAGAACCGGTAACTCTGAAGAGTTGTTTGCAGAGGTTCAAGTTTCATATAGAAATGCATTGAGTTATTTATCAAGTTTTCCAAGTTATTATTATTATTTTTTTAAGTATGGTATTTTTATGTATGAATTCTTATTTGTTACTTACCATGCTGTAAGTTCAATTTGGTCCATTTATATTTTCATTGTTTAATGTTATTAACTAATTCGGTTAGCCCATTTATAGTTACGGTTTTTAAATATCATTAGCCATCATCTAGTTATTTGGGGTTGACTTTTCTTGATCCAATTGCACACTGCGTGAATCCTTTTCTATGTGAATAATCTTAAACAACTTTTATGTTTTATTTATAACACATTTAAACTTGTTCATCTTGCTTAGTTTTTCGATGCCAATTTTATCTCTCGATGTATATCTCAGAAGCTCGGATCGGATCTAGTTAATGGTGGCAAGGAATCTGTCTGGTTGCAACTTCTCATCTGCTCAGATTTAAGCACTGTAGGACGTGCAGGTTGCAACGTGCTATTGCATATAATTAATGAAGTTTCAAGAGCTATAGATTGGGGACACAATATGATTCCAAAGGACCTAAACTTAATCATGGTCACGTGTAATATTTTTATTTAGTAAACTTGACCAAGAAGGATTTGTTGTGACTTATTTGAGGTTAAAAGTTACAAAGAAATTTTCTTAGCAAGTTTTTTTTTTTCTATGCAAGATTCCCTAATGATTGCCACATCAATTATTTTAGATAAATTTATTTAAAATTATACGCTTGTCAAGTAGTCCAAAAAATTTGACGTGACAATTATTGCAAGATTTTTTTCCCTGGAAATGCTCATTTGATAAAATTTCCCTTGAGATAAACTATATGTAGCAAGTTGTTCGTTACTATTTTCAAAGCCCCTAGAAAATGCAACTTGCATGTGCTGCTTGAATTTGGTGTTTAATTAACAATCCTATTCTAACCTTCTTTTTGTCCAGTAATGGAGAATTTTCCTCGAGACATCCTCCCTAAAATAAAGCTCAAGATATTCATACCATACATAAAGGGATGAAAAACACCAAACAATGCATGAATCTAGCACTGTGAGTATCCTGAGCTTTCTTTTTTATGTAAATGCTGCTATTTTTTTTTCTTTTATGCAAATTACAGAACCACCCATGAGATTTATAAACTTTGAGTTTAATACTTTCAAAGCTGATGACTATTGCGTACTTTTTTTTTTTTTGGTTTTTTGTTTTTTGAAAGTTTAGTGGGTTTTATCAAAAAATTTGTGATAACTACTTTTAGAAGTTCTATCAATTATTTTAATTAGCAACTATACTATTGCCAACTTTTTGAGAACATGCATGCAAAAGTAGTTTATATTTATTGCAAACAGCATGGAAGTGTTCACTTTCTGTATACTCAAAGCTAAAAAGTCCTGAAGTCGCATTGAGTTCAGTAATAATAAAGTTTTTTGTCAGCAAGAAGCATGTGACAAGCTGCTTAGGCTCTGAGGTCTATATTAGCATTGAAACTTAGGTACCTTGATAGAAACAAATATCATATCTCCTCGGGTATCATAAAGTGATGAGATTTCTTTGTCGTACTATTTGATGGTTTCTTATAAAATCTATATCTCTGCCCCTACACAACTCTTCTTGGCCTATTGGTTGAGAGCTTAGACTTCCAACTAAGAGGTTCAGGGTTCGAGTCTATGTGTATGCGTTGTGTGTGTGAGTTTGCCTTAAATGGCCTAAATGTCCAAAAAAAAAAATATCTCTGCCTTAGCCTACTGTTGAGAGGTAGAAGTTAGAAAGTACAAACTAACAAAACAAGTCACTGATATTTTTCAACCCTAAGTATTTTAAGTTCCACTTTATTTTATGTTTTGATTTTGGTTGGAAGTATAGTTTTGATGGTTCAGGTAATTTTGACGGTTTTGTGTTTAGTTTTGATGTTCTATTTGATTATTTTCCTGAAAAAAAAAGATTTAAATATCTAAACAAAATTTGTTTTTCAAAATGTCATCTATCAGCTATTTTAATGTTTTTTTTTTAATTATAATTTCTTCATTATTTAAGAATCTTTAGTTGAAATTTTGTTGAAGTCGTTCAAATTGGTTGAAACAAACTGAAATAAAAATTTCGACCAAATCTGAATAGATTCTGCCCCGAAAGTGAAGCGATACGATTAGATAATATTTTGGATGGAGGTAAACGTTTTATCGATAAAAAAATTCCTATGGCCTAATTTTTGTGGTCTTGTCATTTGCGTACAAGAGATTTGATTCAGATTCTCGCGTAAGTTTGAAATCTAACTGCACTTTATGCTGCTTGTTTTTCTGGCCATTCAATTTAATTTGGCTAAGTAGGATAACTTCTGAGTAATTTTTCATGAAAATCATTTTAATTTTGGTTATTTGGTTATATGTGAAAATTGCATATGGTCAAACTGTTGAGACGTGACCTCTTGTTCTTTTCCAGAATATAAAATGTTTAGCCGCAATATTTATATAGAGAAATCCATTTCAAATTGTTTGCAGTGAAAGCAGTAATGATTGAGACTGATCACAATATTTTGATTTCAAGATCTATTTTGCATACATAAATTTATAATTAAGGTTTCGTTTGGGACGGCTTTCTTATTATAGTATAAAAATTTTAATTTTTTACTAAAATATTGTCTGCTTTAAGAAGCAGTAAAAAACCGTCGCAAACGAAGCCTAAATTCGCTCAAATTCAATTATGTTAGGAGGATCTTAAAAAATCCATGGTACATACAAATTAACATAGCAATGATGTGAATCTATATCATAGACACTGCACTTTATTTGGCATGAACTGCTTAACTGATTGTAGTGATCTGCAGATGCATTAAAGCTGAGACAAAAGTAGAATATTTTCTGCTGCAATGAAATCTTTTTTTTAAGTTCTGCATGATACGGTTCAGGGCAACTTAAATGCTACTAACATTTTCTTCCTCACAATTTCACTTAAGGGTTTATTTGATTTGTGAAGTTAGAGATCATATTTTGAAAAATTATAAGATTTGTTAAACTTGTCATGTCGTTTAATTGGATATAATTAGCATGCACGCATTGATTACAAATTAAACAAATGACCTTAAAAATCCTTAAAAAAATGATTATTTTATTTTTTTGCACATTCAAATTGAGTGAAAAATGAAAAATATCATTTTTTTAGTTATATTATTATTTACAGACAGCCAAATGTATGCTCACAGACCATAATTTAAGTATAAAGAAACAAAATATGTTAAATTGATGATTAAAAAAACATCCATTGAAAATAAAATAATAAAAATTGAATTTAAATAATTTGAACAGATACGTTGAAAGATGATAAATTCAATGGATGGATAAAACAAGTTGTCAAAAGATTAAAAAAAGAAGATGAAAGATAATACTAATAGAGATAAAAATACAAATATATTTAATATAAATATATAATGGAGATTGAGGATTCATAAAGCTGACCGGTTAATGATGATGATGATGCTGCCGCTCAAAATCATAAAAACCAACTCTCTCAATTCTCCACTATACATAATTTACAAAATAGAGACCCATGCGAATGACCCGTTAGCCTTTCCTCATAAAACCTGCTAAAGGTCAAACAATGGAATTGGAGCAAGAGGTTGAAGAAGAAGAAGAAGAAGAATAGGAGGATGATATCTCCATAGAACCATAGTATCTTAGCTCCTCTATCATCTCCTCAATAAACTCATCATCCATGCACTTCATCTCCTCTCTCTCCATCTCTGCTTTAGCTCTTATCATCTCCTCTTGAGAAGCAATGCAGCACTTCTCCAACTTAGCCACAAGGCTAGGCGATAAGGCCGATGCCGAGCTTGAATTCGGCGGGAAGTTTGTCCTTGCTCTTGCACCACACATGAACTTAGCCGCCTCATCGTAGGCCCTCGCCGCATCTTCAGCTGTCTCAAACGTGCCAAGCCAAATTCTAGTTTTTCTGCATTGAAAAGAGCTTGATTAAGACGGCGATGAGCTCTAATGTCTCTTTCCTATATACATTGTTAGTAGAAAAAGGTCTATAAGAGGAAGTAGAGATCAACGTTGACTTGAAAATTACAGTAAAGGATGTCTTATTTCTGAGACCCAGGAACCCCAGTGCCTCTGCCTCACTCCTCTGTATCTCTGCAGCTTTGGCATTCTTTGTTTGTTTTGATTTGAGTTCTGGCTACTGAGAGGGCCTGCAGCTTTTCTCTTATATAAAGAAAGATGATAGAAAATGCTATGAAATAATACCCCTAATCTGGTCCTCTTTTGTAAGCAACCAAGGCACATGACTTATGGCCCCTGGTGTAATATCACTAAAAAATTTGGTTGATTGGATAGAGAAAAATAGAGGTATCTATTATGAGGTGACCCATGTGTTGTAGCTTCTTCAAGGTTCAAACACCTCTTTTGTATCCTACTGACTCTTAATTTTCTTTGTGGGGCCTATAGAGCATGCTGACATGATAAGACTTGTATTGCTTTGAGGGGAACATGGCAATATGAGGCATTCCTCTTAAAAACTGGAAAAATTATTAGGTGCGTAGTGCAGACGGGGTGAGAACCGTCCGCACAGACACAGGGTACCGAGCGGTACCCAGTGGTACCGAGTGGTACCGAACGGTACCGAGTGCTGTTTTATACTAGTGTGTGGACGGTTCTCCCGTCCGCACTCCGCACCTAATAATTTCTCCTTAAACTGATATGTAGTTGTCAGCTTCATAAGCACCCCCTTTACTACTTCCATGTTTTTATAACAGAAGAGTCGCAAAGCAAAAATTTGGACAGATTCAGCCACAACTAATTTGGTGATATCTTCTTTCTTCTTATTATGTGGCATAAAAACAAAAAATATATATAAAAAAAAACAACAAAAATTGACATATTTTTTCTGAAAAGTTAATATTGGAAAAAATGATAGAAAATCATGGCTGAAAAATTAATTTTAGTAGTTTTTGTAAGAGAGAGAGAGAGAGAGAGAGAGAGAGAGAGAGAGAGAGAGAGAGAGGCTTCACATGGTGCTATGATCTTGCACATGAAGGGTTTAGTCTTTGGGTAAGGATTTGGTTTTGAAGGATCTTGATAATGGGGCCGGACACAATCTAGGAGTGTCTTGATCGAGTGATGGGATATGAGAAAGGCCATGTGGGTGGTGAGTTTTGATGTAACTAGTAATATTATAGGAGCACATTAATTTCCTTCAACTGCTTGCATGTGGAAACATTAGAATAAATGTTTTTAAGTTTTAGGGCTCATTTATATGAACTCGATCAAGATCTCATAATTCCATCATCATAGGTTATAATGGCCCTTGGTTTACTTAGTTAGAGGTAGTAGTCGACCCAATATTGTCAGCAGTCATTGGTTGCTTTGTCCAAGGGAATCTTGTATATCTGGGGTGAATATTTATCTAAGGGGATAATTAATCATTTGTTAATGTTGTATTTCTACTTTGGTTCTATTCTTTGTTTATTTTAATTATGATTTCTAACTAAAATATGCAATGAAAAAAAATCAGTTTATTAGCTTTGGGGCTATTAGATTTGAAGTATTTAGAATTCAACTGTATTTTAATATAAAGTTAATGCGGTATATTTGAGTACTTATTTTCATCATTGCAATCATATAAATAAATAATCTTATTCAATGTAAAATTGACAAAAATTTAATTAATGATCATTTTTATTTCATACGTTGAAAATACATTTATAGACATGAGTTCGAAATATTGATATATTATAGTTCAAAGTATTTAATCCATCATTAAGTTTTAAATTCATAATTTATTTGTTTAACTCTTTTGGCATTTTCAAGTTTTGATAGGAATGAATGAAATTTTTTGGAATTTTGGGCAAGTTATATATAATATCAATCTAATTTAGCCAAATGGTAGTATGTGATCCATCTATGTTGATCTCTATAAAAGATGAGGCTCGTCATCATCAAAGTTAATTTTTTTATTGGCAAAATGAGTTTGAAATTTTCTTGTCTTGGTCCACCCTCTAATAGCTTGTCCTTCACCATAAATATTTTCTAACTTTATGTAATTTGCAATTGAAATATTTAGAAAAATTTTATCTTTGAGAAAAGCCTATGAACATAGAAAATATAAAATGTTAGTTTTGTTTTATTTAACATTTGATGGAATCCCCCACAAGCTGTCAAATAGTTGTGTGCTAGAATATTTGTGGCGGTAGAATAGAGAGTTTATTGCCTTAGCATTATGTGAATTTACAATACACACAAATAGAAGAGTTGCATATGACATTAGAGTTCTTACGTGAAAAGCTTAGAAAGAGAAAAAACGTGGATTTATCCAACTAAGATGATTCAAGTTATGCTCTCTCATGATTGGGAAAATGTTGATACAATAGGCGTAAGCTTTGTAGAATAAATTTCAAGGTGGATGTTGGAAAAACCCTGTAGTATAGGAGTTGTTTTTAAGAGATCATTTGTTGTATATTTTATCATATTTCTTTGAAGAGGGAAGATCAGGGATCAAGAAATTCAACATAAATTATTTTGCTAACATTAAGAGTGAAAGTTGATGTGAGCAACATACATTGGTCTTATAAGTAATGACGTGCATCAACATTGGCAATGAAGTTAACATATGCCAGTGTAGCTAGATTAGGTTGGAGGATTAGGTTGGGGGATTGTAATTAGGTAATCGTTTTCGAAGGATCATAATCGGGTGACAGAGATCTGGGGTTAGAGTTGGGTGATGGTGGAATGATCATAGTCAAGCGCTAGTGGTTGGAGAACCGTAGTTGGGGCAAAGTGGTCTGAGGATCGTGATTAGGTAATAAACATCAGAGGATGGTAGTCAGAAGGATTATAGTCATGTGGTAGAGGTCAGATGATTGTAATCAGATGACAATTGTTAAGGGACTATAGTTGACCGAGGGTAGTCAATGGTTGGATAAGGGCAACATTGATTTGAGGATCGTAGTCGGGTGATATAGGTTGGCAAACTGTAGTCGAGTGATGCTGGTCGAAGAATTATGGTCGAGTGACTTTGGTTAGAGGTCGTACTTAGTCGATGGTGGTAGGAGGACTATATTCAAACAATTATGGTCAACGAGCTGTAGTTGTGTGATGGTTGTTGGCAAACCCTAATATACAACGAAAGTTGGAGAATCATAGTTGAGCGACATAGGTTGAGGATCATAGTTGAGTGACAATGGTGGTTGGGTGGTTGTCCAATGACAATAATAGAGTGAAAATGGTGCGATGATGGTTGTCAGGGGAGCTGTTAGAAGACTTTAGTCGAGTGTTACTTTGATGTTAGCGATCGGATAATGTTTCAAATGAGGTGATCAAGTAGTGGTTCAATGATCGGTTGTTTGACGATGGCAATATGGTGGTGGTTTGATGGCGCTGTCGGATGATGGTCTTACAATGGTGCTCGAGTTGAGCTTTGGGTGTCTTAGAGCCTCAAAATTCTCTTGAATTTCAAGCCAAAGTATAAGCACCACGCCCTGTTTATGTAGAGAGTGAGCCATATTTATAAATTTTAAGAGTGACATGCCATGTAAACATGGAGAAATGAATGCTCTATTAAATGATCCGTATTGATTGCTTCGATCATTAATAATTTTTTTTAATATTTAAGTGACTTAATGATGTCAAAATTAAACAAACTTGGACTAGTTAGATTGTCTTGTTGATATGATTGATTTGGCTATAGACATGTCAGATTTAGAGATTATTTAATTATCTAATTGATGTCATGAAGTTTTCGATCATGCTTTAAGTGTTTGATCTAAACTCAAATGAACTTGAATTAGGCTACTTTTGATATGGGTGGTTCAATCTCGTAGTATCATATAATTTGACTATAAATTTGTTAAAATTTCAGCTCGAATAGCTTTGAATTTAATTTCGGAAGTTAACAATTCAAATATGTATCAAGATTTGTGCCAATTAATATGACTTTCAATGACTTGGTAATACTAACTTCAAAATTTTAAAAAGTGATACTCTTGCATTGTTTGCCATAAATAAATAAATAAATAAATATTTTATTTTAGCATATGACTTTGACCTCATAATAATGTAATGATATGATAACAAAGTTTTCTTAAATGAAAATAATCAAATTGCAATTTTCAACCCTAATTTTGATTAAAAATTAGAAAAATATTATATCAGAATATATTAAAAAAATTATATCAGAATATCCAAATTTAAATTATATCATGAAAAATCTAAAAAAGATTATTGAATTTATTTTGAGATTAATAGAATGCTAATTCATTATGTATATCATCAATATCAAAATAAATGTAATAGTTACAAAATCTGTTGTCATATATTTTTTAACAAAAGTTTTTTTACCGTGTCTTTTTTCTTTTAGATTTATGTCATAATTATTCAATAAATTTTATACTAGTTATCAACTATATATCACAACTCTCCGTTTTTCTCATCCAAAGTTCGATATATGACAATGACAGTGTTAAATGACTTGATCTTATAAAATGTAGCCTTAGACGATTTGACCCCACATAATAGGATAAAGACTCGATCTTATCGTCGCCTTAGAAAGGTTTGACCCACAAACAACACAGAAGCAATGCTTTTTCTTTTTTAGATATGGGACTTAATTTGACCAGACAAAATTTTGTGTGAGACTTAAAACAATGGTGTATGGGGCCAGATTGAAGAGAAGAGAGAGTTTTATTGGAGAGAAACCACAAAGCATGTGCATGGGATGAGCAAAATGTCCCGATGCACGAAAATTATAGCTCTAATAAGCAGGGGGAATGAATTTGTTGCGCACATGATCGTGTTGTATCTGTTGTTATTGTCTCCTATATATTATAAGTAGAAAGAAAAATATTGTGTATTTAGTCGAGTTTTGTTTGCTTGTAATGCTCTTTATTGTGCGCAAATAATCAAATTGAGCGGCTTGACGAGATGAATCCAACGAGCATGAGATGATTTTGTTGTAACAACATTAAGGTAGTTAAAGTTTTGATAAACGATCTATGATTAAGGAGATTAATATCGATTATAAGCTGGACCTCAGCTCGATTTCTCGAGATTGTTGGGAAAACTCGATTTGACTCGATTGTTGAGCTCAATTTCTTAGCATGAAATTTAAATTTTTAGTTTTTTTTTTAGAATTTTATTTGTAATATCGAATTAATTTAAAATGATTAAAATATATTATATAATGTTAATTTTAATTAATTTTAAAAGATTTTCAAGTTAATTAAGCAGCTCAACAAGCTTACGAACTGAGCTAGGTTGAGTTTGAGTTTGAGCTCGTTTAATATGCTAGCTCGAGTATAGGCTTGCACTT